ATTAACATCACGGGCTACACTTGTACAACCGCCACACACAAAGTAGCCGCATACGCGGATGACATGTTGTTCTTCATTACACGTCCAAGACTCACCCTACCATGCCTAATGGAAGAATTCGAAAAATACAGACACCTCTCGGGCCTCAAACTTAACTTAAGCAAATGCGAACTGTTCAACATCACGGACCCACTGGGGGAACACAGGGATATAGCCTCGACCTTCCCGTTCCGATGGTGCCATACCCAAATGAAATACCTGGGGATATGGGTGATGGCTGACCCCAACGCCATCTACCAGAAAAACTTCCTCCCACTCCTCACACGCATTCTACAAGACCTCCGAACCTGGAATTATCCACACATCTCATGGTTCGGCCGCCTAGCGGTCATCAAAATGAATATACTACCCAGACTACTATATTTATTCCATACAATCCCAGTGGCACTACCGACGACCTTTTTCGCGACAATAAAAAACGCATTCCTGACCTATGTCTGGAGAGGATGCAGACCTAGACTAAGATATGAACTATTATGCAAGACCAGGAGTCAGGGCGGATTGGCACTCCCAGACCTACGCAAATACCACCAAGCGACAGCCCTACAGCGGATACTGGAATGGCACACTAATCCGAGATGCAAACAATGGGTGGCCTTGGACAAAGAATCATGCAGCCCATCCATTTTTGCATCCCTATGGAATCAGAAAACGCCACGGCGTCACGACCCCGGCGCAACCTCGCCGGCGAGTCACACCCTTCACATATGGTCAACAATGAGGAACGCAACGATCATCTCCCCAACACCCAGCCCGATGACCACGCTAACACATAACCAAGCAGTGGGGGGAGGACTACCGATCAAGGCCTGGGACTTCCTGGAGGGAAGGGACTTCATACCACTCCACAAAACACTAACCGCCACTGGACTGACCCCCCTGGAACGCCTAATGGAAGGCCAGCCAGCTCCCATGCACAAATTCAGATACTCCCAACTGACGCATTTCTATCACACCCTACCGAACAAACAAGAGGCACACAGAACCCTCACGTGGTTTGAGGACATCTGCGACAAACAAACACCGACTCAGAAACCAACGTCGACGCTCTACCAATACCTAATCACAGGTGAGCAGCAAGCAACTCAACGATATAAGGAAAAATGGGAAAGCATCACCGACAAAGTTTTCACCGACGCACAATGGGACAAAATTCTTATCCTCCATCACAAATCCACGATTAGCTCAAAATACCAAGAAATGAACTATAAGCTATTGACATTCTGGTACAGAACCCCAGACCTGCTCCACAGAATATTCCCCAACACCTCGGCGACCTGTTGGAGATGTGAAGCAGATATTGGAACACTAAAACATATCTGGTGGGACTGCCCCAACATTAAACCGTTTTGGAACCAGATTACGTCCCGCATCAAAGAGGTACTAGGGCACACGACGCAATTGTCAATAGACAACACCCTCCTGCATCACACTAAAGACCCGATTTCAAAATACAAACGATCCATCCTACGACACCTTCTCGACGCGGCCAAGGCTCTAATCCCTGCCCTATGGAAAATGACAAACGCCCCCACAATGGAACAATGGCTAAACAGGGTAGAAGAGATCAGATTTGCAGAAGAAATGCATGCGACCTTACGAGACACCCTCACGAAACACGTTGACAAGTGGCAACCTTGGATAATATACGTGGCGAGACGAGATGGGGGGGACGCGGCGGCTGGGGAAGGGAGTTAAGGGGGCCTCCACCCATTCCTCCCCCTAACAAGCCACACACACTACACGCAATACAACTACAACGCTCACAGGATCAACACACCGCCAACACACAACCACCCCATGACCACAACCAATGAGGGCACAGGACGTAGCAGCATGCGATACTGGCAACAACCTACCAACCCCAAAAAACAACATCATACAGACCTCTCATTGAACCCAAGCCGACACCCCCGACTCACGCACCAATACCCAAGATAGAGCTGAACAACAGGAGACCCCCGAGCGAACCTCACACACTATCACTCTAGAAACCGAAAATCCAGATCACAGAATCACGATACCACAAGGAACGAGGAGAGCTCACCCTCCCGTGGGATCCACATCACACACACACACAACCCAACGGACTACCCAGCACATGACTGGGACATGACACGCGGGGAAGGCGGGAGGGACAACAACATGACTGGAACAGACTTGGGAATCAACCACACAACGAACATAGATGCCACTCATACCAGCCAAAAAAAAAAAAAAAGACCACAAAACGCCTGTGCCGCTAGAGCTACCCCTACATTTTACTTACTACTTACCCACAAATACTTTACACAGATAAAAGTCTATGATAGGATACAAATTTCAAACCCAACGCCTTGTAACTCCTGGAAGCCACTGACACACACACTCACATAGACACAACACATGCAAAAGATTCTCCACATACAAAAAAACAAATCGACCCCGATCAGGACCTACGAGTCCATTGTACCTCTACCATACCCTCTCAAGAATGATCCACATATCACCGCACCAGGTTAAGATACACCATGTTAAGACACACGTTGCCTCAATTAGTTGACTGAACACACAAAACTCAACGTAAACCTGACCGAACGACGCTTCCTAAAATGACAGCTAACGCTTCATACAGATGGGACCTAAGTATCCAAACTGAAACTAGCTTAGAGATACATGACAAGTATATGCCATAGGACCTGCGAGTCCAACTAGTTTATGCTTCTTACGTTTAAATGTGACCTGCGTGTCACCAGTGTATACATACATGAGCAGCATTTATTCCAATGCAATAGTTCGCTTGCAAACATAATGAGACCTGCGTGTCCATACCGGAGCTTTCTCATGTCATGTTCGAAACTGAAAAATTTAAAACACCCAATAAAAATATATTTACAAAAAAAAAATAATTAAGTTAAAAATGATGTTGCTTGGAGACAAGACTCATATTTGCAGCATTCAAAAAAAATAAAAATAAAAATTATAGAAAGTCATCCACTCAATGCCTTAAGGTAATATTTCACAATTAAAAACAGGTTTTTTTCCCCCCCCCACAGCTCAGACATTAGGTATTAGCCACTCTCAATATACATGCCTTGAACTCGTATTACAAAAGATAGCAAAATAGTAACTATAAGGCAATAGAGAGTATATTGGGAAGGGAGAGAGTATAGATAGTCCTAATCTAGATAGTTAGAGCAACCTAAAGTGTCTTCGAGGGCACCCGTTACCTAAAATTATATCCTCTCTCTAATATCCCACCTTGCCCAATCATCAGTGTCAAGGAAAAATCGCCACAAAGTTATTAGAGAATAAGCCAAACTCATTAGCTGGATATCGCCGCATATAATGCTGCCGTAATAATTAGTATAGACAAGGTACAGAGGTTTTTTAACGCGCAAGCCTCTATAGATCCGAGGAAAAGTAAATCTTAGTGGAAACTAGATAAAGTATCACTGGTGGTAGCTGAGATGTCAGTTTCCGCGAACAGGTATGCGGCAATAACAGGCTGACATCCTACTGTAAATGAAAAGCTACCAGAGCCCCTGACGCACGCATTTCGCCAGTCAGCTTATCCAAGCATTTTAGGTGTATTAATTACCTATTTTACTGAAGTAATAAAAGTTAAGTTTTAACTATCACGTGCTCTCACATAGATAGAACTGTGGAGATTTATTTTGTTTTTTCCTAATTATATGTACGCAACAATCATTATAGCACACTGTAGTTATGCCGCAGTTTAATACTAAACTGTTGAAGAACGTTTTGAAATAAACCAATAGTCTTCTTGGCATCCCCCAGGAAGACCCTTGGCCATTCTGATCATGGACATAGCAGTTTTGCTTTATAAATGGAAATTTGACTCAGCATGAATGACATTGATCGTCTGAGAGTGCTAGGAACATGATAGCCTGTCAATCAATTTGGCATAGACTCTGCGAAGAATTCCTTGAAAGGGAGAGTAAGTGGGACCTCCCAATGGTCCTACTTTCCACCCACACATGTGCTGTGATTACTATGGTAACTAGTCGGTGATGCTAACACTGAGTAAGGGGTATAGGAACGCTTTGACTGACGTCACTCTGTTCACACGCCAGCATGCTTGCAACAAAGCAGGCATGTTGCTGTCATGCATGAGGTTCACCCTGCTTGTGGTATCATCTGCAAATCAGTTAAGCCCACGGTAGAAGTTTGACTGATAACACCCATCTCTGTAAGGCATTGGAGCAGAGTGTCATTGGAGCAGAGTGTCATGTTCCCTTTAATTCAATTTTGATCAAAGTGGCCAGGAGTAGTCAAGAGATAGATCCCCAACTGTAAAACTAAAATGAACAATAATTTGTCAAACTAAAAGCAACATGACAATCACTATAACCATAATAACCCGTTGTAGTGGTAACAATAGTGTCAAAAGTGCTCGGACACCCTTTAAACTGTTTTTCAAAAAGTGTAAGGATGGTTTGACAGCTTGCATGGGTCTCGTAGGGCTCCTGCAGGAGCTAAGACAAGTTTTCATACTGTTCTTAAACTATTTACCCCTGGCTTGGCGATTTCCTTGGAAGTGGAACTGTCACTTCCTTGATTCTGCATCCTAGTAAATTGTATTTTGGGAGTTTACAAAACAAAAAACAAGAACTTATCTCTACTGCACTTCTAAATTAAAGTGACTTGCCAATCCCATCTAACTCACAATTGTCATTATGCTCGCACCCCATGCTCTCCCACTCAGTGTTGTAGATGCTTAAGGACACAGCTCTGCCAGTATTAACTAATTCACATGCTTTGTTGGATTCTTCTTGGCACAACACATAAAAATTATAAACTTTAACACAACCTACAGCTAACTTACCTAGCCATTAGGTTGTGGTAAAATTGTAAACATGGCAGTACACACAGGATAGTAGTGGCAGTCCTATAAGAGCGGTGTATATTCCCCTTACATTGCACACTAACTCCCATCACTGCCAGCGATCAGTCACGGGCCCCATGACCTTACCCTGGGTTGCTATGGTTACCTTGGTGATCGTACACACTGACATAGGAGATGCCCACCGCCATGCACCACACCACCAGGTTGGCCACGTCCGTGTAGCTCTCGTGTTCCTCGCTGATGAGCAGCGCCATGTGCACGGGGAGCTTGGCCAGGCCGGACACGTCGCTCCTGCCGCGCTCAGTGAATGGCCGCTCGCACTGCAGGTACTGGCACTCACACGGCTGGCCGGGCTCCGAGCAGCGGCAGTGCCGGGGATGGTCGCACCGTCGGACGCAGTCTCGCCGCCCTCCCCGCCGGTACCAGAGAGCGAGGTCAGCCGGTACGAGGAGCGCGGCAGCCGCCCGCCACAGCCTCCAGTTCCAGCAGCGGAGCAGGACGAGCAGCAGGGCGCGGTGGGTATAGAGCACCGCCTGCAGGAGGCGCCAGGCCAGCGCGTACAGCACAGACATGGCCCTCAGTGACCGGCCGGCCAGCGCGGCATCCTCCTGCTCACTGACATGCTGAGCCAACCGACCGCCCGCCCGGCTCGCACAGCTCGCACCGCCTCACGCGATTGGTCACACGCTCCCGTGGCGTCACTTCCGCTCCAAGGCTGCCGAGTGACGTGTCTAGCGAAGGTTGGAGCCAGAATCTAGGAAGCGGTTTCTGGAACCATAGAGAAAGACAGAGGAAAGAGAGACGTGAAGAAGGGCCGCCCCCTAGTGGTCGGAGGGGAGAATAGCAAAACGACTTCCTGTCAAGATTGGTCATTCTTCAGAGCAGCTCTGTCTCGTTTGTGTGCTTTATGAAGATATAAGATATGAAATACTTTGAATGACTGCATTAGAGTTTCATTGAATACAATTAAAATGTATCATAAGGCCAAGCCAGAGCTGAGAAAAAAAAGTGGAGCTTTTTCTATAAACTTTTGTCATTTCCCAGCAACCATGACTAATGGGAAAGGACATATTCTTGCACATCATGTTCTATATTCTGCAGGCCTCAGATTTTAGCGGGACAGTCCCAAATTTTTAGTTCTGTGCCTCCATCCCAGTGCCATTAATTTGGGCGGACCCAACCGGAAAAAAACGCAGTTGCACTGCCCTGCCTCCTTTACCCCATTCCACTGACATCCCGCCTCTTGGGATGCCAGAGATGGAAGATATGTAGTACCTCCCAATATAGGAAGGTAGACAACTCAACTCACCCGAAGATTCCGGAAGTCTTACACTTTTTCAATACAGCTCCCTGCCATCCGCAAATCATATACACCCTGTTCCAAATTATTATGCAAATTCTATTTAAGTGTCACAAAGATTAAATATTTTGTTTTTCAGTTTGACTCATGGATTGCATTGTGTCTCAGGGCTCTTTTGATTACTGAAAACAATCTCGGACACCTGTGATAATTAGATTGCCAAGTGAGCCCAATTTAAGGAAAAACTACTAAAGGAGGGTGTTCCACATTATTAAGCAGAGCACAATTTTCATGCAATATGGGAAAGAAAAAGGATCTCTCTGCTGCCGAAAAGAGTGAAATAGTTCAATGCTTTGGATGAGGTATGAAAACATTAGATATTTCACGAAAACTTGAGCGTGATCATCGCACTGTTAAGAGATTTGTGGCTGATTCAGAGCACAGACGGGTTCGTGCAGATAAAGGCACATTGAGGAAGATTTTTGCCAGATCCATGCATGCCAGATCAAGAGAGCAGCTGCTAAAATACCATTACATAGCAGCAAACAGATATTTGAAGCTGCTGGTGCCTCTGGAGTCCCACGGACATCAAGGTGTAGAGTCCTCCAGAGTCTTGCAACTGTGCATAAACCTTCTATTCGGCCACCACTAACAAATGCTCACAAGCAGAAACGGCTGCATTGGGCAGGAAAATACATGAAGACTAATTTTCAGTCCTTTTCACTGATGAGTGCCGTGCAACCCTGGATGGTCCAGATGGATGGAGTAGTGGATGGTTGGTGGACAGCCACCCTGATCCAACAAGGCTGCGACGTCAGCAAGGTGGTGGTCATGTTTTGGGCTGGAACCACGGGAAGAGAGCTGGTCGGCCCCTTTAGGGTCCCCGAAGGTGTAAAGATGACCTCTGCAAAGTATGTGGAGTTTCTGACTGACCACTTTCTTCCCTGGTACAGAAGAAAGAACTATGCTTTCCGTAATAAAATCATCTTCATGCATGACAATGCACCATCTCATGCTGCAAAGAATACCTCTGCATCAATGGCTGCTATGGGGATAAAAGGAGAGAAAGTCATGGTGTGGCCTCCATCCTCCCCTGACCTCAATCCTATTGAGAACCTTTGGAGCATCCTCAAGCAAAAGATCTATGAGGGTGGGAGGCAGTTTACATCCAAACAGCAGCTCTGGGAGGCTATTCTGACATCTTGCAAACAAATTCAAGTAGAAACTGTCCAAAAACTTCAATGGATGCAAGACGTGTGAAGCTGCTATCAAATAAGGGGTCCTATGTTAAAATGTAACGTGACCTGTTAAAATGTTTAAAAAGTTAAAATGTTGTTATAAGTTTGATTGAAATAACTTTTGATTTCAGTAAATATGCTGCAAACACAACAAATGCCAATTTTCAGTTCTTTACAACCTATAAAGTGTTTGGAAAATTACTGTGCATAATCATTTGGAACAGTGCATTGTAAGATTTTTATGTTTAAAAAAAATACTGTTATCATTAGGAGGTTTGTTCAATAAAATTTGAATTGTACTCTTAATAGTTGATAACATGAGAATTATGCTGACTGTTATTTACATCAATTCTTTAGGTAAATGAGAAAAATATAATTTGCATAATAATTTGGAACAGGGTGTACAATATCCCAGAAGTCACACATAATCCAACATACAGTGTATGTCAGATCGTGTGTGTGTGTGTGTGTGTGATTTCCGGGATATTGTATATCATTTGCACTTTATGGGTATTATTTCTTTATCACTGAGCAGGGACCCGGTCAGACACTGCAGCACTTTAAAAGCCAGATTGAGTCCACGTAGCATCAGCAGGAAGAAAGTGACAGCCGATCACTTCCTTCCAGCTTTAAACAAAATGCTGCATGGGATGGAGGAGGCAGCAGCACCAAGGAGGCAGAGAAAAGGCTGGAGTGAGCTGCTGCATGCCCACTCCCATAAGCCTCAGCCAGGACCAGAACCCCAAGCAAGCCAGCTTCCTGGATACAAAGTCCTGGGCACAAAGTGAGATGGGTGACTTTAATCTTCCCGATATGAACTGGAAAACCAAAATAGCTGCTTGTGCCAGGAGTACACATATTCTAAACTCCCTAATGGGATTGTCTCTAAAACAAGTCGATGATGAGCCAACTCGTAAAGATGCCATACTAAATTTGGTGTTAACAAATGCAGATTTGGTATCAGATATTACTGTAGGTGAACGTTTAGGAGTGAACAGGAGTAGTCCCAGAAGATTTTAGAAGTTAGCAAATCTTATGCCCATTCACCAGAAAGGTAGTGGGGAGTAGTCGGGCAACTCTAGGCCAATAAGCCTTACTTCAGTAGTGGGGAAAGTAATGGAAACTATGTTAAAGGATAGAATTGTTCAACATCTAAAATCACATGGATTTCAAGATCAGAGACAACATGGGTTTACTTCAGGGAGATCATGCCAAACTAACATTATAGATTTTTTTGATTGGGTTACTAAAATAATAGATCAGGTGGTGCAGTAGACTTACCTAGATTTCAGTATGGCTTTTGACACTGTTGCACTTAGAAGGCTTATCAATAAACTGCAATCTTTAAGTTTGGATTCCAATATTGTTGAATGGGTTAGGCAGTGGCTGAGTGACAGGCAATATAGGGTTGTAGTAAATGAAGTATATTCGAAGCATGGGCTTGTCACCAGTGGAGTTTCTCAGGGATCTGTAACTTGGACCCATTCTCTTTAATATATTTATTAGTGATATTGCAGAAGGTCTTGATGGTAAGGTATATCTTTTTGCTGATGATACTAAGGCAGGGGTAGGCAACCTTTTAGCAGCACTGTGCCGATATAGGATTGTGATGTCCCGTAGCCGGTCCTATTTTTTTAAACTGAGGTGTATATGCTGCCATATTCTGCTTGTGTTATTTTTACTGTAATTGCTTTGTATCGTTGTATTTGTGCGTATATGAGCTATTATATTGTATATGTTTATTAGTAGTTTATGGTATCGTGTATGATACACATGAATGTGGGCTGTGTATGAGGGCTACTTGTGGAATTGTGTGTGGATGGATATGTCACATTGTGTGTTTGGTAGTGTGTGGGGGCTGTTTGGGGTATTGCTTGTGAGAGGTTGCATGTGGGATTGTGTGCATGTATGTGGGTTGTTAGTGGTGTTGCGTTTGTGGGGATTATGTGTATGTTTGTGTGTGGGCTGTTCGTGTTATTTGTATGAGGGGAGGCTTATTCTGTAGGTCTGTGTATATCTAGCAGTGTGGGTGGCTTCCCTGGGTTCCAGTGGGGACCAGGCTGGCCAGGTACAGATCAAGGACAGGAGCTGCAACAGCAGCTGCGGGCTGCTCTACTACAGTGTGGATTCCCATTCACAGGTGCTGGGAGGAAGTGATCTGAGATCACTTACTCTAAATGCTGCAATGCATAAATTGAGGATTGTCCTTCACTACCTCTTCGTATTAGCAGATATCTGAAGTTTCACTGAGACTCCCGATAGGCCAGAGCCTGTTTGGCTCTAGCAGCCTTGAGTGCCGTGGAAAGACACCTCGAGTGCCGTGCATGGCACTAGTGCCGTAGGTTGCCTACCCCTGTACTAAGGTATGTAACAGGGTTGATGTTCCAGTATGGATAAGCCTAATGGCAAATGATTTATGTAAGCTAGAAAAATGGTCAGAGTTGTGGCAACTGACATTTAATTTGGATAAGTGCACGATAATGCATCTTGGACAAAAACCCAAGGGCAGAGTACAGACTATTTCATAGAGTCCTAACCTCAACATCTGAGGAAAGGGATTTAGGGGTGATTATTTCTGATGACGTGATTATTTCTGATGATGTGATTATTTCTGATGACTTAAAGGAGGCAGACAATGTAATAGAGCAGGAGGATATGCTAGCAGAATGCTTGGTTGTATAGGGAGAGGTATTAGAAGTAGAAAGAGGGAAGTGCTTATGCCATTGTAGAGAACACTGGTGAGACCTCACTTGAAGTATTGTATGCAGTACTGGAGACCGTATCTCCAGAAGGATGTTAATACTTTAGAGAGAGTTCAGAGAAGGGCTACTAAACTGGTTCATGGATTACAAGATAAAACTTACAAGGAAAGATTAAAGTATTTTAACATGTATAGCTTGGAGGAAAGACGAGACAGGGGGGATATGATAGAAACATTTAAATACATAAAGGGAATCAACACAGTAAAGGAGGAGACTATATTTAAAAGAAGAAAAACTACCACAACAAGAGGACATAGTCTTAAATTAGAGGGACAAAGGTTTAAAAATAATATCAGAAAGTATTACTTTACTGAGAGGGTAGTGGATGCATGGAATAGCCTTCCAGCTGAAGTGGTAGAAGTTAACACAGTAAAGGAGTTTAAGCATGCATGGGATAGGCATAAGTTTATCCTAACTATAAGATAAGGCTAGGGACT